TTTTTTCAAAGTGCGTTCATATGATTGACATTAATTAACGCACTTTGAAAAGAAATTTTGCAAAGTGCGTTAAATTTGGGACCAAATCAAAACACTTTGAAAAATCTTTTCACAGTGTGTAATTTTTTTTAAGTGCGTTTTAACAAAGAGCATACGCTCTTCATAAAATATGGCAGCATGAAGCGTCATAGTTCATGTCCTGATGAACTTTCAAAAACTAAAATTAATTTATTTCTGTATTATGAATGGAACTTTTGAGTGCAGGTTCATGGTTGGAAAAAACAGAAAGTATGCAAATATAATGGTATGGTTAAAAGGAGATGGGTGAATATGACGAGAGATAAGCCCATAACGCGAGAAACATGAATGTGAAAAATTAAATCTCAATTATATCAAAATTTTCCTCAATATTCCATCTAACATTAAAGTATACTTTATGTAAAATCTCTACAACTTGCACCAATCTCATAAAGATTGAAGTTATTTGCCTATGAAGTATTATACACACACAAAAAAGGACAAAACGAGTCATTTTTTCACAGTATAACACTATTAATCGTTATGAGTGGGTCTTCTCTCCATTTTTTTGAAAGGTAATCCTCAAAGTTTGCATACAAACATACATATTTTCGCTTAAAAAAATTATGGAGCAAAGACCCACTATACCTTAAAAATATAATTTTATGACCCTCAAGTCAATGGTCATATCACAAACATCATTAAAATGCTACACTTCATCAGGACTTGTGTAGCGTATTGATTAGCGTGCTGGGGCCTGTTTCACAAACGTTTCCTAAGATATGTCGTAAGACATAACTTAAGATATGCCTAAGTTAAAACTTAGGAAGTTCTTATGATTTGTCACAGCTGTTTCACAAAACAATCTTATCTTAAAATTTTCCTAAGTCATTTCCTAAGTTGTGCCTCTATATTGACTAATGAAATAATTTCGCCGCCCTATCTTCAACTCTCAGTGTTTTATATTTTTTGCTTCAAAAAGGGAGGGGCGGGAGGATTGGGAATTGCGTACTTTCAAAGGACTTGGACAGAAGTTTTAACTTAGCAAAGTTTGATCCTAGAACTAAGCATTCACATACTAACCCTTTCAAGCCCTCTTCCCTTCCGGGCACATATTTTTATTTTTTTCAAAAATTGTTCTACGTGTTATACGTTTACTTTTTAAAATTTGATCTTTATAAGGTATCGATCTCAGGTATTGTTTTTTACTATGCTTTTCTACTTGTCAATAAGTAAATGAAATTAATTCAAAAATGATTGATTCGCATAGTGTACATACGAAAGCCGGATAGGCTCATTTCTGAAAAAAAAAATTAGCTCGACATAACGAGTTAATTATCTCATAATAACGAGTTAGTATTTCGTTATAACGAGTTAGTATCTCGTTATAACGAGTTAATTATCTCGTTAGTATAATTAATGGCTTAGTTTTATCTCGTTATTACGAATTACTTATCTCGTTATAACGAGTTAATATCTCGTTATATAACGAGTTAGTATCTCGTTATAACGATCAATCAATCATTTATTTTGAATTTCTTCACCATTTTACAATAGCGTACAGAGACTACAAAAAACACATAGATGATGTTATATACAACAATAGGTCGTGAAAGGCATGCGTGAATAAGAAACTAAACAAAAACAAAGAAAAAAAAATGTAGCTTACTATAAATGTGAAGTATGGGAATTTAGGCCGGGGAGCATATTTTATTTATTTTCTTTACAAAGGAGCACAATTTTCTTAGAAAGCAGTGTTTATTGTTATTCATAATGTTTTTGAAACTAATTATATTCTGGAATTTTATGTGTTTTTCTGTTAAGCATAGTTTTCTTTCTGTTTGTAGCGAGTTGCACTTTAATATGTAATGAAACTCGTCTCCGAGTTCTTTTAAATTACAATGGGGACAAATTCTATCTTGTTTTGGTATATTAAACCAACGTCCACTTTCAATTGGTAAATGATGGTTACACGTTCGGAATCTACAGAATGTTATTAAGTCCTTTTTTGATAAAATATTAAAATAGTTTTCAAATTTTAGTTCGTCTTTGTATATTCTATAATTTAAAGCTTTGGTGAGGTTTGAAGGATTGATTGCCAACTTTGTTTGAATTGATCTATTAATGCGAGTTTAACTTTCGCCTTTAACCATTTAATATTAATTGGGTTTTGTTCAAGCCATACATTTGAGAGTCCACAGTTATTTAAGATATTTTTAATATTTTCAAGCCAAACAATTTTCCCTCCTATTTCTTGATTTATAATGAAGCCTAATTTATAACATAAATTTGCAATTTTAATTTCCTTTCCAGTGATTAATTTTGACCAATAAGTTATCATGCGCGTTTTTATTTGGATTTCCATGGGGTGTCGGCCAAGTACGCCATATATCATGAAATCGGGGGTTGAATATTTTAAATGGAGTAGAAGTTTACAAAATTTTAGGTGAACCCTTTCTATTATTGCATTACTTGAAAATCCCCAAACTTCACATCCATATAACAAAATAGGTTGCACAATTTTATCAAATAGATCTAGTTGACACTGTATTGATAGGTTATGTTAGTTTTCTCGTAATAACGAGTTAATTAATAACGAGTTAATTAACTCGTTATAACGAGATAAATAATTCGTTATAACGAGTTAGTTAATTCGTTATAACGAGTTAATTATCTCGTTATAACGAGTTAGTTATCTCGTTATAACGAAATGATAAGTTTCCCCTTTATTTCTAAATTTATTAGCAATATAGGAATTAAAAATGGCTGTAGTTTTAATGCCATTGAAGTCAAGTTGATAATTATCAGTCGTACCTAACTTTAAAATTGATATAAAGTTGCAAATTTAATTTGCGATATGGTTTAAATAATATTAATTCTGAACTATCTGGCTGTCAATAATCACATTTTGCTAAGTATAGCAGTCTTTATTTGAACACATTTACACATTTATACGTGAACGTTTATTAATATAAAAATATATATATATATATTATAATAACGTCCTAAAGGAGATTAGATCCAACAATTGTTGGGAGAAACATGTACATGTACTGATATATATCCGGAGCTTGGTTGGGGTTCATCAAGAATCACGTACTTCTCGAAAGTGAACAACTGTTTTCATTAATGTAAAATTTCGTTTTTTCAAATTCTTGTTTAATATCGATTAAAAAATTTCATTCAGTTGTATGAGAGGAGTTGCGGTTAAGAGATGGGTACCCCAAAGCGTAACTGACGGACGGACGGACGAACGTACATACCGATTACTATATACTTTAATAAATATACATGTACCTGTAGATATAAACGTAATGTATGCATGCATGTATAATAATGGATCAAATCATGCATGTTCTTTTTTTGTTTACAAAGGCGTGCTCTTCAAATGATGGGGAATTACTCCAGCATGTGTGCCATTTAATTCGCCAGCTCTAGTGCCCCAAAATGAACGGACATTTTTATATATCTTGGACTAATTTTGACACATTAAAAATTATTAATTAAATCCTAGTAATTCCATGCAAAGTAAAGCAGTTTTAAACTGGAGAGAACACAATCATCCATATACGAGTAGTCCATTGGATTTCTCTACCCAAACACATTCTCTTTCTCCATAAGAAATCTTGGATATGCAGCCGCAATGTTTAGTTTCTTCCTAAGTCATCGATTTACCTGTACTAAAGTTACGACATAACTTAGGAATATCCTAAGATAAGACGAGGTGAGTGAAACGGATAAGTAATGAACTTAGGAAAAAGTTCTTTCCTAAGATATAACTTAGTCCTAATTTAGAGAATGCAACTCAGGATTTTTATTGCCATTGTTCGAACCTAATGGATACCAAATTATATATTTTTTTAAAAGAATAAATTTTACCGAAAATTTTCCCTCAAAACTTTCATGATTTCATAAAAATCAACGATGAGAACTTTACTCTAAATACTAATTCACAATTTGAATATGATTCATATATCTGAAGCTATTGGGCTTTCTGCACGCTAAGTTCATCCATCTCCTTTGGATTTATTAGAGATGACAAATGGTTATAAAAAAAACACATTTTACTTTTAAGATGACATGTATTACACCAATTAAACATATATTAATTCATTGGCTATGGAAGCTGCCTTGTTATTATTCACATTGTGTTAACAATTGAAATTATTCATGTCATAAACATTTACATAATTATATAAATTTAAAGAATGGTGAACCTGATAATATACAACATTATCTGTACAATGCAATTAATGTGACAAAAATATAAAAGGTAGACAATAAATTATCAATATTTATGTAATACTCAAAACATTCAGAAAGTATATTCTTAATTTCATAATTTCTTTATACAATGCATATAACTTTTATGGATGTATCACTTAAGTTATCCTAACAAACATGTAATTTTTCAATGCTTTAAAAATTTGATTTTCTGGTCAAAACAACACAACTTTATTAAATATTTATATTTCTACAAAAAGTCAAATAAGAGGCACATGGGCCACATTGTTCTCTTCAGCACTTTGGCTACGAAAAAGCAGATATCAATTCAGTATTGAAAAGTTTAAATATAAAAATAAATGTCTTTGCTGTTCTTGAGAAGAAGATTTTTAAAGATTTTTCTATGTATTCTATGTATGTAAAGCTTTGACTGCCCATTGTGGCCCTACCCTACCCCTGGGTGTCATGATTTGAAGAAACTTGAATTTACACTACTTGAGAATGCTTCCATATCAATATGACCAATCATAGCTTTGCTTTTCTTGAGAAGATTTTTAAAGATTTTCCCTTTGTATTCCTGTATTAAACATTGCTTGCCCACTGTGCCCCCCCCCCCCCCCCCAAACCGCCAGGGGTCATGATTTGTACAAAATTGAATCTACGTTACCTGAGGATGCTTCCAAATAAATATGACAAATCATGGCTTTGCTGTTCTTGAAGATTTTTAAAGAATTTTCCTTATGTATTCCTATGTAAAACTTTGATCACCCATTGTGGCCCCATCCAACCCCAGGGGGTCATGAATTGAACAAACTTGAATCCACACTGCCTGAGGATGATTCCACGTAAGTTTCATATTTTCTAGCACAGTTGTTTTTGAGAAGAAGGTTCTTAAATGATGCCATTAATTTTTCACTTATTCATAATTATCTTTCCTTGGAAGAAGGGCATGGCCCTTCATTTGTATAAAATTGAATACCCTTTACCCAGGGATACTTTGTGCAACTTTGGTTGAAATTGGCTCGGTGGTTCTTGAGATGAAAATGGGTTGTTGCAAATCAATGGTTCTGTTGTAGTTTTTCATCAGATTTCATTTTTTTATTATCCCTTTCTGTGGAATTTTTAGTCAGAGACATTTCCCCCCTTAAAATCAGCCCTATTTTGTGATCCAAGCCTACACCCGAGGACTATGATTTGAACAATTTACAATCTTATATTATATAAGAAACATATCATATAAAAGTTCTAACAATTCGGGTCAGGAAATTAATACAAATTACTTCAGATACAGGTGGTATCTGAAATATCTAAATACAACCAAAAAATTTCAAACATAGGTCACCCAGACCTACTCTTTGGTTGAAATACTCCAAAAAATACCTCTTGTCTATTTCAATACAGCATTAATGATGGTGATTTGTCAAAATCTTTTTTTAGACAGGATGTTAGTTGTCCCCTTAGTTTTTCTCTGCCCTGCTACTTTTTCATGAACAAAATGCATTAATTTTATATGGAGAATAACCTTAAACAATTCTTGTCTATCCGATTTTTTCAAAAAGTCATATTGTCGACTGTAGTGAAGAACCGGTTTCTCCACATGCTTAAGTGATCCCTTTCTGGTGGTATTTTGAATTTTTTCCCAGCTGAGTTCAGTTAACTCTAGATGTGTAACAGTCACCTACAAAGAAAATTGAATTTTTTTTTTCAACGAGAGTGATAATTATAAGAGGTGTAATTGATAGCAATTCTCTGTAACCACTTAAACTTCGGTGCCACGCATGGTCACCGATTTTGATGAAACTTCACCCATTCTTAGTACTTGACACCAGAAACAAATATCAAACAAAATTTCATTACTAAGTGTCTCGGTTGCTATGGCAACAGCCGGAAAAGTTTGAAAAATCGAGATTTTCAGCCACTTTAAATCCTGACTGTGGCTTAATAAAACTAGAAAAAGCAAACAAACCACTGTCACAAAAACATGACACCTTGATGTCGCTTATCCTGTAAAGAAACTGTTTAGAATATATCTCTAAGTAAGCGGTAACCAAGGGTGCATTTGGAATACATTTAAAATACTGAAATATGCTGAAAAACACTCCGTATTCACTAATGGTAGGTGTTACATGCTTAAACTCAATCAACGACTTAAGAAAAACAATGAAAATGTGACCTTTAGTATATAAGTATAAGCAATATTATTCTATAAATAACTTTTATGGTTGCCATGGTAACACAGTGTAACCATGTAAAACTAGTAACTAAGATTGGGATAATGCTACTGTCTTGAGGAAAAACATGAAAATTCAAGACTGGCAAATATGCATCCTTAGGTCCTTGCAACACCAAAATCATAAGAAAATTGGGTATAATTGCTACTTTACAGTGTTACCATAGGAAAAAAGTACCAGTGCTTAAAAGTGAATTATTTTTTGCTGCATTAAGAATTAAATTGCCATATAATCAAGAAACAAATTAAAGGACTCAGCTTGAATACACTGTAGTACTTATCTGTTAGAACTGAAGTTGAATATCATATATTGATAAAATTTGATAAAGAAAACAACACTGTTGCTATGGTTACCAAGAAAGTAAAATGTTCTATTTTGTGAACTTTATATCAAAATTAAACCCTGTGTGCCAACTTCTTCCATCCACTTAGAGATTGGATGATTGTCAAAATTAAAAGTCCGGATAACTGTTAATAAATATCAATCATAAAAGTTTTGGGAATCTACATTTAAGGGTACATATCCAAGAAACGAAAATATTTTTCAGGTTTTTAAGCATATATTTTCTGCTTATTTCCATAGCAACGCTCTATTTAAAGAATCTAATCTGAATTTTTTAATCTAATCTGAATTTTTTCAAATGGAAAAACTAGGAGCATACCAACATCTTTAAAAATTGATCATTAGTTATGAGGAAATGTGCTTTTTTAAAAGATAGGATAAGATTTAAACATACAGAGTGTTACTTTGAAGGCTCTCTGTGGTATAAAAACCTTTGCAACCATTGCCAACCAAAATGAAATATCATATTTTGTTCTTGGTAAATGTTTCAAGGCTCTTTTTTCTATTATTTGGTCACATTTCATCCTATAATTGCTTTTTATTTTTACGTGTATGACTTTATAAAATTCAATGAACATTTTTTTTTTTTACTTTTGAATACTTTGTTACCATAGTAAGTATGTAATAGTTGATTTACCAAACATGTTTATCATGCATTTGAGACATCTGACCTTCAACTTTTTATCATGCATTTGAGACATCTGACCTTCAACTTTTGGAAACAGTCATTGCCAATTGTTGCTTTGCCGCAAATGTTAACTATGGGGCTCATAACATGTTAAAAAATGCCATTTTTCGAACTTTAAGACATGTTGCCATGGTAACTATCAAACATAGCAACCAATTTTTGCCTGATTTCAGTTTAAGGTATCAATGACTTTTACCATAGAGAGTTTGGAGAAATTCTGAGACTATGAGTGCCACAGCTCCTATACAAAATTTCAAATCATTACAGAGAATGGCTCTTAACAAGAGGCCCAAGGGCCTTAATGGTCACCTGAGAATAAAATAACAATCCATAGAAGATCCATAGAAAATGCGAGTAAAATAAAGTGATAAAATAAGCTTATGTAAATCTTTCATTATCCATCGTGAACCATCCAACCCCTGGGGATGATGATTTTACTTAACTTGAATCTACACTACCTGAAGATGTTTAAACATTTCATCCTTCTTAGCCCAGTGGTTCTGGAGAAGATTTTTCTAAAGTTTTATGTATTATAAAACTTTGATCATCCATTGTGGCCCTACCCCAGGGGTCATGATTTGAACAAACCTGTACCTACACTACCTGAAGATGCTTCAATACAAATATGACTCATCATGGCTTTACTATTCTTGAGAAGAAGATTTTTAAATATCTTGCCCATAGGGCTGTCACGGGTACCCGAAATGACCCGGAACCGCGGAACAATTCATTCGGTTCGGGTACGGTTCTGTTTTTCCGGAATTCGGTTCGGTTCGGATTTGTATAGTAGTGTAGGTTTTACTATAAAAATGGCATCAAAAACGAGAGATTTCTTAATACATTGCAATTATAAGGTGATTTAAATAATATGGTACAATTGTTGTCTAGTCAGGAAGCTACTTAAAACTAGTTAAAATGTTGCTATTTCGAAGATTAAATGAAAATATTCTTTTTCTTTTTGAAAATAATACAAATCAATAGCTTTTATTCCATTAATTACCCGAACCGAAATACCCGAAACCGAACCTAAAAAAATCAGAACCGACCCGACCCGAAAAATTTTGGAACCGTGACAGCCCTACTTGCCCATATAATTCTCAGTGATTTTTCACTAATTCTGTATCATCTCCCCTTGGAAGAAGACATTAGCCCTTCATTTGAATAAGTTTAAATCATCTTCGTCCAAAGATACTTTGTGGAAAGTTTGGTGGAAATTGGCCTAGTAGTTCTTGAGAAGAAGTAGAAAGTATGAAATGTTTACAAACACCCACATGACCAAGGACAAAAACAGATAGCAATAGGTCACCTGAGTGACTCAGGTGACCTCATAAAATATTACATGTTTTCAATACAATTTTTATGATGCATAACTCGATAAAATTTTCAAGCTTACTATGATAGCTTTTAATGTGTTAATGTACAATTTTACACAAAATCAGCAGAAAACAACTCGCCACTCTGGATTTATGATGCCCTATTTTTCAAAATTTAACTTGCAGCCAAGCATGGTGCATATTTGTATGTACCATTAACTCAAGCTTATCTAATCATATAATAATAAGTCAAATGACTTCATATTAAAGGTTTGATAAAAAATATATTCTTTGATTTATTTTAAATTGAGATATTTACTTATTTAAGAAAAGTGAGGTCAAGATCAAAAATGTTGAAGCAATTGAAAAGCCCTCATCAATATATATCAGCATACGAAGCTTGATGAAAATACCTTGAATAGTTTCATTGAAATTTCGCCAAACAAAAAGAGTGATAGGACAAAAGAAGGATGTTAGGGAAGATGGATGGAAGCTAGACATAATAAACACTATATGCCCTGGCCATATTCAAATTTGCTATATCTGTAAATTTGCTATACATCTGTGTTTGTACTCATTGAGTTTTAATGTATTTTACTGCAAATATTACATATGCTGAAAGGTAAAACTTCTAAAAGTGGGAATTCTTCCTTCAAAAAATCCACTAAGGTCATCTTTGTGGATCTGAAAATTTATCACCTTCTTTTATTTTTCCTGGTTTCAACTATTTTTAAAGTTATAGAGAAAATTAGGTTGTAAAAAATATTATCTTAATATAGAGTATTATTCAAATTAACATACTTGTGTTTTTTCAACCGTAAATCCAAGAATATCTCTACCAACACTTCCACAAAGATCCATATGTGTCACTGATTTGTCAAGATAGGCCAACAGTTCTCCTATATGTTGAGCAAGAAGGGCATCTGGTAGGCCGGGATCTACTTCAGAAGATGCATGGCATGTTTTCTTGATTACAGGACTACCATATGTATCTTCACCTTTTATGTTCTTTTTAACCTGAAAATATAAAAAAAATACAGTGGAAAATAAAAACAACAAAGCAGAGAGAATAATACAAGCTGACTGAGCACATTTTCATCCCCAACTTCACTATGTCAAGGTTTTGTTACATCATGCCTCTTTACAAATCCTAGCAAGAAATATATCCATAGGTTATGATTGCCAGGCCCATTGGCACATTCAGATTACAACAAATGCACCATCTCTTTTTTTTTTGTCTGAAATATATTAAATTTTTAAATTATGATGAAAGACGGAAATTTCTAATATCTTTTGTACACTGAACTCATCTCTTTAGTTCAGTTATTGTTTCTTTATACATGTAGTAAATTATGTGTTGAGTTATCCCATCCATCATCCAACAACTCATTGTATCAAGTTTATTCCTTCATATTTAATGATATTAAATTCTAAAGTATGAAAATTTACAATGTACATGATGTACAGTTAAACTGCTCTTAGACTATCAGTCAGGGACATAATGCAAACAAGTTATTGTCAAAAATAACTCAAGTAAGTTATTTTTTGTCACAATGAGTTACCTCTCTTTGCTTCTGACCTACTTTTCCTAGCATTAATAACTCAAACACGTTATATCTCTAAAAGAGTTTCAACATAACGATAACTTGTTTAAGTTATTTTTTTGTCATTTCTCCCTAACTTCACACCCTGTGCGCCAAAGGTGTACCAAGACAAAAACAAATGTTTGATTAAATTATATGTTTTCTTATCTGGATCATGTGGATAACTTATCTAATATATTTTTGAAAATCTAAAAATTATGTCTGCCTTTATCATGTTTATAAGGCTCATCTGGGTAACCATGGCCCTACTGTAGAACTAGTGTAAACAAAGTGTCCTGCCACAGCTTGATATGTCCGTCAAATATTGTTCAATTAACAAAAACAGTTAAGAGTGCAAGAAAATCCTGTCAATCTTCATACAAAGACTTCAATAAGTTTTCCATTTCTTATAATGTTTCATGTACATACACCTCCTGTCGTGTAACTATACAGTGTATATTTTAATTTATAACACTTAAACAGATAATACATCATATGATACAACTTGTCTTAACAATAGGGCACATAACAAGAATGATGTGCCATTACCTAATACTGATCTGTCTTGGTCAGAATTTTGCATTCTAACTAGAATGTTCCAAGGAATCCATGTGTCACCTGCTTTCTAGCTTCATTCAAAATGTAAATAAATCTAAGACCAAAGTGTTTTTCTTTTGGATAGAATTCAACCGACCCTAAATTTTACAAATCCTGAAAATAAAAATGTCTTTCTTCCAACATATTACTCCAGATTTTTCTCAGCTGAACTGGTGGGTTTTAAATTTTAGAATGCATCTTAGTCAAATAAGTGCTTATTAATATACGAGACCTTTACAAACATTTAGTTGACCATAAATAAACATGTGCAAACAAATTATGGTTGTTCTGTCATACAACAAGAAAGCAATGATACAAACTTAAAGAACTTTTTCTGAATGGAAAAGTGAATAAAATCTTGGATGCATGATACTCTTTCTCCAACTGCAATGTCTCAATTGGCTAAACTTAACTGTAATATTGGAGACTCTGAGAGTGCATTTTTGCCCAACCATGATACACCTATAATACACCTATAGATGAATAGTTTGGCCAATTTTGCTGTTGAGAGAAACACTTTGTTAAACAAGTAACAGGACTGGAAAAGGAAAGCAATATACAGATCACTTGAATCTTTAAGACAGAAATAGTCACAAGATAAAATGTTTTTACCTCTACAACACATAAAACTCTCCCCTCCAAACCATAGCATAATATATCTGGTGCTGAAGAAACAATTTCACCCTTGACCTTCATCTTTTTTATAGCAATATCAGGTTGGTGCCTAAAAATAAGTGGAAGAGCCATGTAAACATGAATAAATAAAATACACTTCTTCATTAGGGCTGATCTCTTTGTATCTATAAATGAAATTCTACACAAAAAAATTAAAGTCTATACCAGATGTCTCAGAAAAACAAAATGTGTCATTCATGAAGCATTGTTACAACACACTTTGAAAAATTACGCAAAAAAATTTTTCAAAGTGCGTTAAATTTTGGACCAAGTCAACACACTTTGAAAAAATAAAATTTTTTTCAAAGTTTTATGGACCATATTAACGCACTTTGAAAAACTGTGTATGGATTTGTCAATATTCCTGCAAATCTTAGGTATGATAAATAATTGAACCTGTTTGATAAAAACACAGAAGTCACTTCAGGATGTGAAAGTGAGAGATTTTGATTTTTCCATACTTTGAAAATTCTTTCTCGCTTAAATGCTTTACTGTACTTATTTTTTTCAAGTTTGCATGCATTTTATGTAAACTTAAATCTATTGAAAGTTTTTGACGTCATACCAGTTATGTAAACACATATATTTGGGTGTAGCATAGGCATCAGTACCGGAAAGGGTGGTTACATGTAGGCATATAAATATTTTGCAAAGATATGTGTAATATGTACATGTATGCATTAAAAATTGGTGTTTCCTGTGGGGTCAACTTTCAATTTGCTACCGACAGCTATGTACAATGTTTAAGAAAAAAAAGAGTTGGGATGAGAGACCATTTCATGTAATCGTCTTCTCCTTGTTCTCAATGAAATTAAATGAGTTCATGTAAATTTTAAAAAGTTTTTTAAGATATAATTATTACAATTTGATTTCCTCTATTACTAAAATCTAAGTCTAGAATTTTTATTTTCATACATATCTTTTTATTCAAAGTGCGTTAAATGCCTCCATGGTAAAAAATGTTTATGTGCATTCTTAACGCACTTTGAAAAAATTTTTCAAAGTGCGTTGAGTGTGTCCAAAATGAACAATTTAACGCACTTAAAAAAAAAAATTTATGCACTTTGAAAAATTTTTTCAAAAAGCGTTGCCACAAAGCATCATATACTTGGCAAAAAAAAAATAATAGTCATGTTTCCTGCTACCCAACCAATCCTATTTTTGCACTTGACTCTACATTTTTTTTTTTATTTTGAAGGAAAAAAATCGGGAATTTCTGGAATTTCATCATTCTGCCATCTGTTTCCATGTTAACACAAAACAAGCATTTCATGTAATTCATTTTTTTTGGAGAATGTTTATTTTTTCACCTACATCCTCCTTAACATTTTAAAATCTTTTAGTAATTGGTCCTACACTACCGTCATGATTTGAGCAAACTTATATACATGTGCACTACCTGGGAATTTGAACAAATTCAATAAAAATTTTTCAACTTCATATTTCAAAACCTTGACTTAAGTGAACTAAATATAGTAAAAAAATGCATATTTACCTGGTGATTATGCCACATATTTTGAGAAAGTCCTCAAATAAAGTTTGAAAGTTGGATTCTGAGACAGAATCGTTCACTTCAATTTCCTCTCTTAAAACAAGTTCCAATTTTTGTTGAAACTCCTCAAAGCGGGATGAACATCTGTTATTATCAAACAAAAATATTAAACATTTGCACTTAACATTTGAACTAATATGGGCAAGCTTAAGAATTCGTTAATGAAATTTTTGGTGTCAATGTTATTTATCCAAAAAAAAAGGTACCCTAATTTTATTAAATAAGTATCCAGAGAAGTGGCACATAACACACACAGAAAACCACTGGTCTAATGAAACTACCATTCTAGAATATGTTGACAAAATCTTAGTTCCTTATATAGAGTGAATTTGTGAAGACCTGCCGTTAAATAGATGTAATGCTCATGCTCCATGCATATTCGATGTGTTCAAAGCACATCAATGTGAATCGTTTTTGAATAAACTGTCCCAGAATGACATAAAAGTTAGATTCGTACCAGCCTCATGCACTGGGGAATTACAGCCTTTAGATCTCATGCGTAATGACACGTTCAAAAATCTGTTAAAACCGCATTTCAGACCTAGCTGGTATGCTGACGAAATTGACAAGAACTTGACAGAGGGTAAAACAATTGAGGAACTTGACGTAGACCTGAGCTTATCAAAATTAATACCTTTACATGCAGGATGGCTTGTGTCTGCTTATCAGAAAATAACAACAGACATGATTAAAACAGGCTGCAGAAAAGCTGGAATATTGGACATTGTGTCATAACTGTTGCACGATTCGTATACCTGTCAGCATGATCGAAGTGAAAAAAAAATGTTTATTTTCATATCTTTTACGTAATTTATTTTTTGTTAATTTTTATGCAATATTTTATTAATAAAGAGTTAAACATATTCATACTTGGGTATTCATTTCACAAATACTAGTAATCGCTACATTATTTTTTTTTTACATCTTTTTCTAGAATTATGGATGGCATTTAGCGATGTACTTAATTTAGCGGACTCTGCGTTCCACCAAAGGCGCTAAATAGAATACATCGCCAAAAGTAAAACATTTACAGTATATCCTGTTTGGGAGATTGGTCATAACCTGTTTATCCAACTTGGGTGAGTGACCCAAACCTAGTAAAAAATCAGCATAGATATGCCCAGTTCACACAAAATTTTCATTTCTCATCATATTTTGTATATGAATGACAATCTTGTATAAGGGCAATACTCACAATCCAATACCATTGGGCATCTTTTCTGTTGGAAGGAATTCATTACATATCGCGGGATTTTCAATAAACTTTCTCTGTAATTCTTCAAACGATGTGAAATCCGCTTCAATTGAATTACACACATATAAAATTTCCTCCACAGTATTCAATTCTTCTGAAACTACATCCTTTCTAAACATTTTATATAGCCCCCATTCATATACAACGTCCATCGCACAAGCCCTGTACAAGAGTTTTATTCCCAATTTGTCTACATCAGATCGCCTCCATTTGGAAGTGCTATTTGGAAAAAATGAATCATTTTTGCTCGAAGGTTCAGATGATGATGTAGTTGTTGAACTCTCTAATGTAGTTGTTGACTTTTCAGTGTCACTGTCGTGTGGCGTTGGACTATTCACACTTTCACCCGCATCGGAGTGTGTCCTTTTCCTGCCTTCCATCTTGCAAAGAGGATGAGGCAACCGGTGAATTTGGTTCCTGACTAATTCTTACCCAGTCAATCTATGTAAAAACTAAACAAAGTCTATAATAAACATTTTTTTTCAATGCAGGGCCATGTAAATCTTAAAAAATTAAACTTTTAACTAATGCTAAGGCATAATGTCTAATCATGGTAGGCCTTATTTCTAATCACTTACTTTTCTTTTTTTAAGATTGAGTTTCTCTAAAATCACTGCTAATTTTTTTTCATTAAATACTCGATTCTCATTATATCGCGGGTTCCATTGTATCACTGTTTATTACATTTTTACCAGTGAGATACAGTGAAGTCGCCAATTCCGGGTCACGTCAGGGTGTTTCGTTGATATTTTGTAAATCTGTTCAATTTATATTTTATGCAATATATGTATTGAAAGAACAAATAGACAGTCATCCAAACACCTTTTCGTTTTCAAAGTAGCTACACGGGAACAATATTTACAGGGGTATTTCAGCAAGGCCTTAAACTTCCCTAGTTACGAATCATTTTCTCCATTTCCGGGTCATGTGACTTCACGGTCGTGTAATTTTCATGGAACGTTTCGGAACACGATTTTTATGATGTTGAAACATAAAACAATTCATGCAGCTCGGGAAAAAAGTAAAACAACCACAGAAATATGTTTAAATTATTTTTAAAACAATTACAACAAAACAATTTGCAGTATGCAGAATGAAAAAAATGTATTAGGATTTAAAATAATACAATTAAATTCTTTTATTTGAAAAATGCATTTGAAGGGTTAATTGGATTTTAATTTTTAGAAAAAATATTTTCCTGTTAGAATACTTTTGATAATCAAGGTAAATACATGGTTGTCGATTGGTTTTGTACATAGAATTTTGACATGTTCATGCCACGAGATTGCGTGACCCGCAATTGGAGAAACTACTACAGTTTGATTTGATGATCATTATAATTTTATTTGAGTAGGGATCATTATGATTGATTTCTGAGTTAAAACTAAATGCATTTGCCATACATTTGAGCTCTTATTATTTATCTTGAACTTTTATATCAGCCTTTCTGCGGCGAACAAAAACAAATGTAGCCCGTCACCGCAGCATAAACATCCAAGTCTTTAATGCGTGCGTTTCATAATTTCGATTGTCGGATGCTTTCTTAAAGTTGATATTCAAAATTTTGTACTTAATTACAGACAGAAAGACGAGTTCTTCACGATCAGCGTATTCATTAAGTTTTTTGCGCTTAAATTTTAACACTAAGCATAAAATACACAATAAAATCAAATTTCTTAGTGGTTTTTCTTCAGAGAATTTAGCATGTTTAGAATGATTACATTTTTTGCGACGGTTGTCCGTTGTTATGATGATTTTTATGAGACACTGTTGGCCATATAAATTCTTAGTGTGTCCTTAGAATTATCATAATGTTTTTTAAGTCTTACGATATAGTAAAGATAAAGAAATTCTTCTGTGCATAATATTACCATGATTTCGTTGACTGCTTACTGGAAATGGCTTTTAGACACTAATTGTAGAACCGGTGTGGTATAAAATATGGATCTCCGGATAAGTTGCTACATGTACCTGTACACTTTCTATTAAAAACCTTATGAATAAGACGTCTAGATTAGATTAAAAATCATAGATTAATTAAGACTTTTATAGATGTTTTATTTAAGGAATAACTGTCTTATTTTTCGATTTCATGATGTGATCAATCGATTGGCTTGCGTGATACATGTAATTTGCATACAAGCCGAAGGCGTTCATGCATAAAATTATCACGCAAGCCAATCGATTGATCATCATCATGAAATTAAACAAATAAGACAGCTGTTACCCAGATAGCATGACTCCGTTGGGCCAACGTTGGTTTTTGGTTGTATGGTTGGTAGAGTGTTGGCGTTGGGGAACATATGTAGGCCCAACGTTGGTCCAACGTTCATTTACGTTGGCATGAAAGCTAAACCAACGGTGTTGGCAGGCGCGTAGCCAGCATGGAAACGAAGTGTACGCAGAAAACGGTCGGGGGTCTGGGGGCCGCCCTGAGGCCCCCAGTGGGTCCAGGGCAAAGCCCTGGTTGGGGCCCAGGGGGCGAAGCCCCCGGAAGCTCCTGGATTTTACGAAATTTTTCAGTCATTTTCTCGCAAAAGAAATCACAATAATATCACTTTTCTCGAGCAAACACTTAGCTATAAGATATACTGCTTCCATTGATACTTCGGGAAGAGAAGGATAATTTATCAAATTAATTTACGCATATTGTGGTATTGGAAAAAAGTTTCCAAGTGTATCAAGATAAAACAGAGTAGCAATTTCAATATCGTTATCATTGGAGTTTAAATATTTCAAAATATAAACGGGGGGTGTTGTTGTCTTTTGATTACCTTCATATTTCAGGGATTTTCCACTCACTTTTGGGAATGGGGCCCAGGCCCTTGGAATTGGGAATTTAACGACATTTTATCACTAATTGGGAAATCTTATTGTATGATGTTTTTCAAGAAATAAACACTAAGATGAATAAAATTGATGTTTTATATAGTTATTATAGAACTATGAATCAGAGAATTGAACATTATAATAAAGTTTTACCCAAATTTCAAACCCGACCATGTTTGTATTTCATGAAATATGATAAAGTTTACCTCTTAAGTTCTTCAGCATTCAAAAATTGAACATATGCAGTTCATTTTTGGGGAAAAGGGAGGGGTTTTGCAATTGGGAATGAGGCCCATATTCGGCCCTACACGGGGTAGTGAAAAATCCCTGTATTTGATAGCTGAAACGATTCGAGAATGCTTCAATTATAATATAATTCTTTAAATTGGTATATAACATCAGTAAAAGAAGCTATATTATTATTTATTTTGTTCACCATAATTTAAGTTGTTTAACGACATTTATTCATTACCTCTACGGAAATTAAAAATCTTGGATAGTCGTCCAAAACCTTTATAAATTTTTCTTTCGATCAAAGTCCCTTAGATCGCTTTCCTTATCAAATATTTGTCCGGATAATCGTGATTACGCGGATTAACATTTTGGTTTAACAATTTTTTTCCTCAAGAATGTTGAAAGATGTTTTTGGAATTGATTTTATAAAGGACTAAATTTGAATGTGCAGACATGCTGAAAAAAATTGAATCCAAACAATAAGACGCAAAATAATTTGAAACATGGGTAGTGCCTCTTTTTTCCCGAATAAAAATCTCTCTTTCTTTTTTCCTTCTTTTCTTTTATCCCTCTTTCTTTCTTTCTTTCTTTCTTTTTTTTTTTGGAAAATGATGTGTACGCACTTGCGTACTTGCGTATAGGCAGCTACGCGCCTGGTTGGGCATGTGATGTTGGCCCAACGTTGGTCCAACGTTCATTTACGTTGGCATGAAAGCTAAACCAACGGTGTTGGGCATGTGATGTTGGCCCAACGTTGGTCCAACGTTCATTTACGTTGGCATGAAAGCTAAACCAACGGTGTTGGGCATGTGGTGTTGGCCCAATAATGGCCCATTGTAGTAACATGTTGACAAAAACTATAGCGACTTGGTGTTGAACATTAATATCAATTCTCTGTAATTATCAAAATTGGTTGGCCACGCATAGAAAAACATTTTGATTTTTTTATAATAATTTTAAACAGCTATGTCATTAATTGTAAAATCTAAAGTGGGTTTATGAAATAGAACCTTGGTTGCCATAGAAACGGGGTGCAAAATTCTCAATTTCGTTAATTTTGAAAAACGTGTACTTATCAAGAAAAACTGTGTCCAGAAATGAAAAGGGATAACTTAATATGTTTTCATTATTTAAATTTAATACTACAGATTAAAGTAATTATATCTGTAGTTTTAATTTAATGTCTCAATAGTAAATGGCCATTTTACATATTATAACATATCAGATATGTGATTGGTTTAGTGGAGTTTTTGGAGGCTTAAAACAAAAAAGGCACACTGATTACAAATTTAGTAATAATTAATTATGAAAGGCTGATATTTGATTATATCAAAATATGTAAAATATTGGTGGGAGACTCAAAGATGGAAAAGGAATTCAAAGATAAAGATTACTTTTTTCTACATTTTGAAGCATTTTTTGCTTCCTAATTACTTCCCTTGAACTACTCTCTAACGTTTGGAGGTATAATGTGTATTTAGTAAACAGCAATGAATATTTTCTGGCGAAAGATCTCATCAAAGTTTTACAGTCTGGAAGAAGAAAAGAAGGCTAGACATCCTAAACAATGAAGACAGAAGGTAAATTTATGTATATACTGAGCATTACAAAAATATCAAGATTAACAAATGCATATTTTCTTAATTTTATTTGCCTTACAATACACAGTTGTTATACCACGGTAGTGGTCAGTGGTCCTTATCAAATCAAGCGAACTATACCTTTTGACAGTTTGACTTTCTGACCAATGAATTAATTATTTTTATTAATAAAAATGAATTTGAAGCATATAAACATCACTTGCTGATACAGCTGAACTCCCCCCCCCCCCCCCCCCGAAATATAAATGTCTGTATAGAGATTGTATGAAATCTGTGCCATTCAGTAGGTTTACTTTTTATGATGTGCTGAGAGAGACTTTTAAGTGAACATGATTTATCTTTATAATATAAATTTCCACTTCTGTCAGTTTTCATTCATTGTTTATCCTATTATTTCAATTCTTTATTGGCATTAGGCACATATTTTACAGAATTGTGTTATTAAAATATTTAACTAGAGCAAGTTTGTTTCTATAAAAAAAGTGCATCAAACGTTTATAATATGTGAGCACAAGCACAAAGTAGCTAAGTTTTTTAAACAGTATTCTATATATCAGCAAAATATGGTCATGTGATGTTCATAAGCAGAAAATAGGAAAACAGCATGTTTGTTTTGATGTCATTGTTTTATGTAATAGCTTCTATCTTTTAAACTTTAAATTTATTATATATGTCCAAAACTGTGCTATATGTATTGACAAAATAGATCTAGGCTAAGAATGCACTGGAAATATTGAGTTATTTTTGTTTATATAGACTCTTTCATTTGTCAGTGAAGTACCGGTACTGTATAATCTATAGTTCAATTTTGTGTGAATAATAATAATCTTTTCAAAGAGCAAACAGTAAAAAATATATATGTAAAAATATATATGTACACTTGTACATATGTGTTAGTGTTAAAACAAAATTTAACTAGAGGTACTGTGAGCAATGAGCTCACTAAATGATACCCCCTTCCTCCCATATGGTTATAACTGATGAC